TTAATGTCAACCACCGCCTATTTCCGACTAAAATCACGGCGTATATCTTTCCGCCGTTTGTCCTATAGATGCCGGCGTAGATTCTAGATTTGACGCTTCTAGTCCTCTAACATCGCCCGTAATGCTGGGTTATAAGAGCGGTCACCGCACTAGGTCTCTAACTCGACTTGCTAGCGTATGGCCGATTATAGTTCTAGGTCTTTCTCCACTAATTCCCTATTAGCGTCGCTTAGGTATCGTGGTCGTCGCCGATTAATCTAACGGCTTATCCGGGTTATAGCCTTTAAGAACTCTTCGTTAGGATTAAGGCCGTATATAATCTCCTATAAGCTAGTATACCGACGGGGACGATAATATTTAATAAACGTTCTACTAGTGGCGTGGGCTATAAGTATATTACGCTATACTTCACTAACGAAACCTAGATAAGACTTAGTCTACTTATCTAGAGAAAATAAGAACCTTAGGGGGATTTATAGTCCACTCACCGCTCTTATTAAGTAAATCACCTCCTCTATATCGGAATTAGTGAGAGAAAAAATGATTAAGGAAGCCGTATATCTCACTAAATATCCTAAGCTATATATCGAGTGTGCTTCTATTTATAGGCGTCTCCTATAAAATACGGGGCTAGCTATAGATCACCTCGACCTTCGGGAAGACGTAGTAATTATCTATCTCTTTCTTTAAGGGAAGTGGCATTTCCTATCGGCCGCCCTCGATAAGTAGTCTCCGAAGGTCTTCTATCGAGGTTAAGTGAGGCGCTTTAAAGGCGTAAACGTAAAATAATATAATAAAGAGTAGGATATACGGGCTAAAGATAAGCGATACGCTATAGACGATTTTAGGTAGCGCGAATATGTTCCTAATAAATATTAACTAGTTAGTTGTTACGCACTGCAAACTGGTCACAGTTAGGGTTAGTAGATCACGGGTTATACTCACTAGGGATCTCTGATCTTCCAACGTCAACGATCTGTCTCTCAACCGTACCGTTGCCAAGCAGGCCTTATACGGGCTAAGTCCTTTTGAGGGTATCGAGGAACGATGCCAGGTAGAGCGCTCAATTGATCTATACCGAGGTATTGGTCAATTGATGAGTGTTGTCGAGTTATAATCAAGTAAGAAGTCGCACTGGTAATCCAAAGGTAAACACTAGTAACAATGTGTAATTGAAGACGAAGAACCAAACTAGATACATGAATGAGTGTCCTTATATATCCCTGGGTTCTTCCTGTGTAGATGGGTAGATAGTAGAATGGTAGAAATGCCTTGGCACTTTCTACTAATCTACCATCTACTATTCTACTACCTGCATGATCACGTGGACGGGTTTTTGTGCACAAAAACATGTTCCTTGTCGTCACGTGATCCCATTCATCGGGGGGGCCGCCCCTCAGATGAATATAGGCAGGCGGTATGGACAGGCAGTTTGGTTAATTGGTCCTCGGCGGTCCACCCGTGTACATGTGGGGCCGCCATCGATTGGCAACTAACATGTCCATAACATTAGTCTAATTATAGCAAATAAGCCCTAGGGTAGGTAGGTATAGGGCATCGGATACTACCTATAGCTTCGATATACCTAGGACGCTTTTTATAAACTAGGGCTCGAGTTCTATTATCGGCTTCGGAGGTCCTCCGTGCGGATCCTACTAGAGCGATATTTATAGATACTTAAACTAAAGGTTAAGCATTACCTATTTTCGGTTAATAGTAAATAACCTAAGAGTGTTATATAGGTATAGGATAATACGCTAAAACCCTAAGTGAAATCGCTTTTCCCGGGATTAAAGGATTATCTTATTAAATAGAATCATATCCTCGATATAAACTAGGATATTTACCCGCGGTTATTTATTAAGACCGCGCTTATCTACTAAGTATCTTATACCCTATCCGTTTTCGTTAGCGTAATCCTCCTAGAGACGATACCGGGGGGGAGATCGAAAAACAAACCGTACGAACTACCTTACCTATCTCTTTACTTATCTCTTATTTAGTAACTTATATATAGTAAATTCGGAAGTACTTCTAATCCACTTTAAGGGCGCTAGCCTTTATATAGCCTTTCTAACGGCGACTATCGGGACTATACTCTAGCTTTAGACACTAATTTAGAAATCGATATATATCATTTAGAGACGCCTCACGTAGTGCATCCTCCGTATCCCCCCACTTTAGATTAGTGGACGGCTCTATTACTTTAATTTAGTAGAACCTAAGATATAGTAAGTTAGTTAGTTGATATTAACTCGCTATAAGGTTTTAACGATATCCTAGTCACTTACTAAGCCTAACGCTCTTTTAGTCGAAGTTTCAACTTCTTCGTATTATTAGATTAGCCGTAATCCTCCGGCACCTAGGCTAGGTCCTTATCCGTATTATTATCTAGGACTTAGTATCGGGCCTAGTGGACACGTTCCACATTCGATAGGTCTACTTATAACGATTTTATTCTAGTGCTTAGACTTGGCTTCTTCCGAGTAATCTTTCGACCCGCTAGAGGGGAACACTCCGGCTCGGTGAGATCGGTCTTAGAGGAATCGGGCTCGAACGGTCTATTATTGTCGGTATCGATAGGAGAGGTATAAGAGGATTCGCTTGTGATTCCGTGGTTGCTGATATTAGGCCTCCTCCTCCGATGTATAGCTAGAAGATTTCGTAGATAGTGCGAAGGAACTGCCACGGAGCTCGAGACGTTTTAATGCACGGCTGAATAGAAGAAACCACGACGGAAGATTAGTGGGAGAGCTTTCGAATGGTGGTTGAGTCGAAATGGGGATAGAGTGTTGGACGGAGGATGGTTGGGAAGAGGATATTTATAGCCATAGCGGCTGGGTACTGGCCAGAGTGTAGCTAGCGTGGTGCTGAAGGACCCCCCCCGGCGGGTACAGAGAGCGACGGTGGAGCGATTGATAAGCCCTCAGGGAACTAAGGATGTAAGCGCGCACGAAATGGCAGCCTGAGGCATAAAGGGGTGAGTGGTGCGTGGTGCGTGGTCGAAGGAGGCGGGAGCGTGACGGAGAGAGGTTGCTGAAAGGCGGCCATTTTTGGCGTCACCTGCCGCCGAAAAAGGCAGCCAAATAGCAAACCGCAATTCTTTAAGAGTAATAATAAAGAAGAAGAGGATAGCGTTAAGGAGGATAGTGCTAAAGAGGATATATCTAGGGAAGAAGACGAGGCCGCTTATACCGAGGCCGCCCCTTAGGGATATCTAACTATTTAGCTAGAGATTAGTACGTAGTAAGTAGACGCTAAGCGGGCAGACGCTAAGTAAGCGGGCACGTAGTAAGCGGGCACTTAGCGTCTATCTTAAGGGTCGAAGCGTCTAAGGGATGATAATCCGTATAATCCGTAGGTATACCCTAGAGATCCGCTTTATAATAAGCCTAGGACTACTAAGAAGACGAAGACTACTAGGAAGAAATAGAAGATAGTCTCCGAATCAAAATTGCTTTTCGAAACTTCTAAATCTAAATTCACTAAGATAAATTTATACTACTAAGGTAGTATCACCGATAAAGCTATTATACCTAGTAATACTATAATTTATATAAGAAAGCTATAATACTTAGTAATACTATAGTTTATATAAATTATATATACCTAGGCCGAATTAGGCAATATTTACATTATTTATAGTGCAGCTACACTACAGCTAAAGTGCCGCTACACCGAACCTCGCCCTTAGTGCAGTCGGCCCTACGTATAACTATACCGAACTAAGGCCTTAGTGCAGCCGTTGCACTAGTACCGTTGCACCGGTACCGCTGCACTTATCAAGGCCTACTTCTGCCTTAGGGAGGGGGGGGGGGACTCACACTCCTTCCAACCATGATTTTGATGATACTTACCGACCTGAACTGCCCGATCTATAGGAACGGACTCCCTCGTGTGCCCCCACCCCTAGTTACCCAGACCGCGAATAGACGCCATCTGTAATCTGCCCTTCACCCGATCCCGAGGACATAGTTGGTGAATATTCACCTTCCTTACATTAACATCTATCCGACTAGCAGAGTTTTGATCCTATGGTTGAACGTGCAGATGGAAGTGTATAGGATGAACAATCTCCGGACTATATCCACTACTAGATCGAGTGGAGGGTTAAATTAAACAATTGAGTTGTAGTTAAGGATATAAAACAAGACCTTATTCAACCACCTAGATCCTACTAGGAATAAATAAAAGAGGATCCTTGTAATTCCAGGACGGAAGACAGCCCGTGGCCGACGGGTGAGACTAGATGATACTGACATAGTGTTACAGTCATTCTCGAAGTCGGCTTGACCGATATACACTGGATGACTCTTTTCTGGACCCACCGCCAAGGCCTTAGCGCCGATCTTTTATTGAGCGGGCCGCGTTAATTTGAGGGGCGTAGTAAAATTTGCTTTATACAGTACCTAGCTACGTAATTTTACAAAGCAAATAAACGAGTCTTCACACGCTACGCGTTATGGAAAACAGAACAATTCGTTTAATACGAGTAAGCCTTTAAATGTCGGATTGACGGATATTAGTATGCGCTAGTATTGAGGTATTCTATTAAGATGCCTTGATGTGTATTCAACCTGGATCCCGCCGTTGAAGCGTTATCAGATCTCGGGAGTCGTTCCTAGCGTGGTACGACTGGTATGCGGAGCGTACTGCTTTTACCATACAGAGATAAACCGAGAACGGTACTTGATGAATAACCCTGTCCTTAGTAGTAAAATACCACCCCTCCGTTCGACATTATATCATAAGTCTCCGATACGGAAAGATGGTTCATCCGCTCATCACGTCGGCCACTTTTATCAGCCTTGAATTTGTAATGTATTCGTTCAGTTCTAGTGGCCGAGAGGAGTGAAACTGGGAAAGAAAAAAACTATATTAGTTTTCCTAGAGCAGCCTTTTCATCTTATTAATTTGTTTCTCATTCAAAACTAATCCTCCCTTCACCCTTCTCTCGCATCCCGGCCACGCAAGGTTGCTTACTTTCCTGTCGAATCGAAATGACACTCAACACGCAGAACCGTATCATCGTTGTGCTTGGGTCTACAGGATACCAAGGCAAAGGCGTAGTGAGTTCGCTTTTAAGTGACGATTCGCGGGAATTGTGGAATGTCCGCGCAGTCACCAGGGATGTCAATTCCGTCTCAGCTCAACGTCTTTTGAATGATTTTCAAACCTCCGACCACCGTCTCAGCCTTACTTCCGGAGATATTTTCGATATAGAAAGTCTTCAGAACGCTTTCTCTGGGGCTTATGGTGTGTTTGCGGTGACGAGCGAGACCAATTCAAGAACGATCGAAAACGAGGATGACCTGAAGCTGGAGCTCGAAAGCGGGAAGAACATTATTTCTGCCGCGAGGATTTGCCGCATTCAGCACTTTGTTCTCAGTAGCTTGCCAGACATGAGACGAGCGACTTCTGGTCGCTTTGACAAACTTTTCCACATGGATCATAAGTTTGTCATTGAGCAGTGGGCAAAGCAAAACCTGTCTGCGGTCACTTGCCTTCTTCCTGGTTAGTCTCCCTGCTGACGCCAAGCGTTCCTGTGGATTTGTAACCAACCATTCTCGAAGGTCTCTTCTTCACCAACCTGGATCGTCCGCAGTACTGTCGAAGAGAAGGTCAGTTCTGACAGAGATTTCCCCGTGGAAAATATTTTCTAACTATTACAGCAAATGGGGTGGTTCTTTTTTGTCCCCCGATTCCGTCCACAAAATTAGTTGAGTGGGTTGATCCTGTACATGATATGGGTATTTTTGCTGCAGGTAAGTTGTGATATCGAATCTTTTGTAGTCGCTTCTACCAAGGGAGACTTGGTGGGATATCCCACGCCTTGCAAAGGGATACTAGAGAGAAGTCACTTATGGTCAATGAGAAGTACAAAGCTGAGAGTATCTCTTAGAGGTATTTGCTTTAGGCATTGCGAAAACAAAGAACAAAAATTACGTTGTCTGCAGTCCGAAATTGCGGATGGGCGAATTTGCATCCACCTTTACGCGAGTCACTGGCCAGCCAGCGATTTATTCCCCAATCTCGATGGATGAATGGGCTGATTTGGCGTCCAAAGCGGTAGGAAATGGATTCAAGGAGGATATTCGCCAAATGATGGAATGGATCTCGATAGCGCCAGAGGACAAGATTTGCTACGGGGCTCTTGATCCAGCCGAAGACTCTTCCTGGGAGGATCTTCACCTACGAGCTAGTTCTTTCGAAAATTGGTTAAGACGTTCTGGATGGAGAGGCCCACCGGAGGGAAAACCGTGATATGCTTTGAGAATGCTCGTATCTGTGATTGAAATAGTACCCAACTGTTAAGCCAAATCTCGATGCCAAATATGATATTGCAAAGTGAGCTGATCGCTTGGCCGCCATTGACAGACGATGAATGGAATGCTATGCTTGCTGGCGTGTTTGACCTGAGAAGATTAATGCTGCGATGAATTGCATGTCTCAAGCATACGCTACTCTCTCTCACACATAGCTTTCAGTCGCATCCTTCAAAAGAAAAGCGATCTTGGATGCCTTATAAGCAGACGATCGGGTTATGGCTGAGGTAAATTGGTTGTAGTCAGGTAAGTAGACAGGAGCGCCACTTGACACTTACGGACTGAAGATGGTCAAGATGTCTCTCAGGCTGCACAGGCTGTTAAACCAGACCGTGGAGGTGATGGATGGCAGGATGGAAAAGGATTTTGAGTACGCCGGCAATGGCAAGTAACGTGAATCTCGGCTACGCGGTCACACCATCATAATTTTCGTCTCCGTAGTAACCCACTGGTTTCAAATAGACACCATGTCTCCCAAACGCCCAAGTAAATTTATACAGAGCTAAGTGAGGATCGGACTGATTTGGTCGCCCTTAGATCCTAGCACCGAGAGTTTTACGTGGGACATCAAAAGATCGAGCAGCAGCAGCGACCGAGGTGAATCTGCCATTATGAATAGCTCTCAGAGCTAGTAGAATACGGACTCCTTGTTGGATAGAGTTTTGTGCTTTTCCTGTGGATGAATCCATCCAAGATTGGTTATTTTCCATGGATCGAGGAGGTGCAGCCCTCACAATCTTTGTTACAATATGGCTAGTTTACACGATACATACGAAAGGCATATACACTAGCTTTACGCCAGCTTCAAAGCACATCTGTTCAAATTCTGCCCGAGTGATAAAAGGGTGCGTTATCCATCACTAGCACAGACTTCGGCTCGGGCCATTTCCCATAGTGCTGGAGAAGCTGCTCGATAAAGTCCTCAAAGACGGATACGTCAGTTAAACCCTAGAACACTCGAGACAAAATAATGCCGTCTTGCGTATACGCAGGCAGAATGTGATAAAGCTGATCAAGATGGAATTCGATACATGAACCGGTGCGGTACCAAGGGGGCCCCAACCCGTTCGCCGGAAGCCTACCCTTGTATCACATCCAGATTCATCGACATAGACAAGGTGGTGAGACTTGAAGTCTAAGATAAAAAGATGGCATTCGACCTGAAGGTCAACGTTGCGTTCTCGGGCCTTGACCTTAGCAGTCTTCTTTTTGTCCAGCCTTTGGACTTAAGGACGCGACTGACGCTCGATGCTTGAAGAGCGAATTCGTCCGACGGAAAAAGCACAGTCTCGCCCAGATATAAGGCGGGCTTTTCAATCAGGTGGTCGCACAAAGCCTCGAGCATGACTGGAGTGATACTAGGGGGTCGTCCGCCTTTAATTGGCGGTGCTCTGACGCTGCCAATCATTCTTATATTGGAAGAGATTCTCGAAATGGTGCTCTTGTTGCAACCAGCGGCCTATGCCATCTCAGTTTTAGATAGTTCGCCACTATGGATCATGTCTTAGATAAGCTCATGCTTGGAGGAGCCATCTTTGGTTGGACCACCCTTGATTGATTGTTGAGTGTGCCTCCCGAGGAAAGCTGCTTTGGAGGAGGGGCATGGAGGTGTCAGATGTATTGAATTTACAAGCGAGTACATGCCTGAAATTAATACGTAACCTACGTATGAGGAAATACATACGCACATGCTAGAATAACTCCTAATGTAGACTAGTGTGCCTTGGCGTAAGCGGTAGGAAAGTCAATCGAAGAGTATAGTGGTTGCACCGGTTTCGGGACGTACTATACACCGGAACAGCACATATAAAGTTATACTCCCGAGTCAATAACGTTGAAAGTACGGTTACTTTCACGTTACCGCACACATTTAATAACCCTAAAAATAATCTGTTATCAACGCCGTCTTATATTACCACTTCCAGAATTCTATATAGCTCTATTATAGACATAAAAGCAGTTTCTTATCCTAGTACCACTCCTATTAAATTTCTCTTAGGGTTATACGTCTTCTATAGTCTATTTATAATCTAAAACGAGTATCTTATAATCGCCTACGATCCCTTCTATCCCGGTATATAGGAACCTATTTATACGATAATATAATATAGCGTTTCGTCATTTCCTAAATAACTATTATATTTTATCGTTTATCGATATCCTACCTCTTTAAATAGTATCTTTATACTATATTTTTTACCTAGTTATTATTACCCCCGTTCTAAAATTTGTATTCCTAATATTAATAATACTTATATCCCTAGGATTATATCCGGCCCTACGATCTATAGTATAGTTCCTAGCGGATATATAGCTCCCGGGAGTATATAATAAAGCTCTATATTATAGATATATATCGAACGAGGGACACTAATATAAACTAATACTAAAAACTTACTATACCGAGTAAGTGGTAAAAATGAGTGTATATTCTAAGGAGTAGTAAGTGATCGACTATTTATCCCCGTATAGGCTTATAAAGTAGTGCCGATCCTCTAAGTAGGCCTTAACAAGTGCAGCTATACCTCGAGAAATTTAGTGCAATTGCTCGGTGCTATAGGGTGCAGCGGTACCTTAAGAAATTTAGTGCAATTGCCCGGTGTAGCGAACGATAGTATAGTAGCACCTCTTAGCGGTGTAACTAGGTGCTACTAAGGCTATATTTTACTAAGAAATTACCCTATTCGGCTTTAATACTACCGATCTAGTAAGTAACTAATATACCGTTCTTTACTAGTGTATTTATATCGTGGCTAGGTATTCTACTTAGCTTAGGGATACCGATTTAGCGAGTATCCCGCTACTTCCTCTACTATTCTATATTTCGATAGGTAGTGTACCTTACCGCGCTATTCGTTTCTACTAAAATAGTATTATTCGTTTCTACTAAATAAAATAGCTTTAAAATAGCTTTAAAATAGCTTATAAAAGGCCTCTTATATTAACCTAGCCTCCCTTCGTACGAAGAAGGAATTCTAGCTAAATATAGACTTCTCTACCTACTTTATCTCCTTAAAGCACTATATAAAGATAGCGAGAGTATAGCGTCTCTAAGTAACGATATACTCCTATAAAGCTACTTTATCCCGCCTAAATAGAGTATTTAAGTATATATATACCGCCCGATTAGTCTACTTCTTAGTACCTACTAAGTAGCTTAATATATATCTACTAGTTTAGAGGCGTATAGTAGTAGAGAAGGGGTATAGTAGACCGTCTATACGAATACTTATTAACCTAGAAGGTATATATAGTATATTTATTATCTCCTAGTACGTATTAGTAAGGTCCTTCTATAATCTAGATTTAGTAGTATCTAAGATTATATAGTTATCTTAAATTATAATAAACTAAGGAAGTATAATATAACGAATTAGTATATATAAGCTAGTCGAGCTATAAGGTAGGGAGAGTAGTAATAACTAAATATTACTAACTTTATATATCTATTTTATCTAGTTAATTAGTTAGATTAGTTAAAAGTATAGATATTAATAGTATATATCTATTTCTTCTAATTAGTCTTATAGAGTATAGTATCTTTAGCGGTCTATATCTATAGTTAAATACGCTAGATAAATCTATTAGTAATCCTCTTATAATTTTAGAGATTAGTCTACTAAATATATAAGCGATCTTTAGTATATATTCTTATTAGTATCTTAGTATAGTTTTTAGTATCTTTATTAGTAAAGGATATAGATCTTTAAAAGATACTTTTTCTATAACTAATATTAATATAGTCCTATATATTAATATTAATATATTAGAACTCTATCTTTTTATTAGGCTTTATACTCTTAGTATAGTATAGGAATAATATAAGTTTTTATATATAGTCTAGATAAAAGAATATATAAAATATATAGTAGATAAGATTTTATTATATTAGTTACTAGATTAAAAAATACTATATATTTCTCTATTAACTAAGATATAGTTTACTAGTCTTAAGCTAGTAATAATACTTATATATCTTATACTCTTTCTAGATAAGAGGGAGAATACTATTTATATATACGCTGTAGATAGAGAATAATATTCTTCCTTACTACCGCTACCTTCCGTAGACGAGTGCTTTAGAGTCGAAATCCCTAGTTAATAGCGAGCGCGGGACCGTATATTATATCTTTTTAGTTTAAACTTCTAGTAAGAGGGTCGATAATTAGAAGTCGGCCGGTCTTAGCTTCGTATAGCCTTAGGAATCTCGTGTAGGATATCTATATATTTAACTTTCTAAGTACTAAGCTCGTTATACGCTATATCGTGCTATTCTTAGGATAGAGCCTCGGCGGCGAGCGCTTAAAGAGTAAACGTAAGTACCTAGCTAATAGTAGTCCGGTAGAGACGGTATTAATCGTTCGCCTATATATCTTAATTTAGTATATATAAGTAGTATTAAATAATAGTAGGATCTTCTAGAATATAGAGAAAAATAAAAGCCTCTTCTATATAGATATAGCCGTACTAAAGTCTACTATTAATTATATATAAGAAGATTTAGGTGACTATAGCGGCGACGAGGTATATAGTATAATACTCGAACGTATCGCCTTCCTAGTTAATAATATCGCGAGCTAGGTCTATCTTATATAAGCCTACTACTAATTCTAGGATTATTACCTTATATAGCGCCTTAAACTCTACTATATATACTAGTTTTTTTCGCTCGTTAGCTATAGTATATACGTAAAACTAGTTAGTATAGCGATTACGCTTCTATAGAGTATAAGGCCTCTTTAGATTCTATATAGCTCTTCTACTATATCTAGTATTCGCTAGTTATTAAGGCGACCGCGTATCCTAAAGAGTTATTTACTTTATACTATTCTTAAATAAGGTTTCTATATAGTTATAGAATATAACTTAATCCTAGATACTAAACTTATATTAAAGAGTTTTATTATCGCGTAGTATCTTAATAACTTTTTCGATAAA